ATAATTTGTTACAATTGGAAATAGAATTCATTTCAAAAAAAAAAAAAGTATCCTTTCAAGGAAAACCAAGAATTGGGTGAAAAATGAGGTAAGGGTGGAAAATGAATTTCATGGAAAATTTAACCTACCAAACAGTTTAAAAGTGGAAAATGAAAAACGAATTCCAACTTCCCTAGAAAATTTTGTGCTATCAAACAGGCCCTTAGCTAATTTTGGAGAACATGTTTCAGAAGTGACAAGAATTAATTTCAGAAATCCAAGGTTAAATTCTTGATATGCATGCATCTTATTTAGAAATACTTGTCTTTGTTTATTTAAAAAAAAAAATTGCTGTGACAATATAGCCCCCGTTTGGCTCTCATTTTTTTCCATTACAGTACATTAATTTTTTTCTCTTCATTTCAACCACACATTCATCAAATAAAATAATATTACACACAAATCTAAAACTTTTCATTACTTTTCTACCACACATTCTCCCATCAATCGCTATTTCAAAAAATCTCAACACCCTAAAATGAGGGCCAAACGGGGGCATAGTGATCACCCTTATTATTAGAGTAGCCTATTTTCTAAAAAAATGAAGAAAAAAATAAATGATTAAAGAAATTCGTTTCTAATTAGGATATAAAAATATATATATGCAAATTTATTGAATAGACAATTTTAAAGAGATCATATATATGATATGAAAACAGGTATGAATGTAACATGGCAACACATGCGATAGCTAAACAATGAATTGTAATGAGGCACGCTGTGAATCATACGATTCTCCGCCTGATTTTCATGTGAACTTGCATAGAAACTCAAAAGAATAAATTTTGCTTGTTTCTCATTTAAATATAAATACCACCTTATCAACAAACCTCTTAATGTGTCTTAAAATCTTGAGAGAGACATTGAAAAAGAAGGATTTTGGCGTTAAGTGATGAATTATTGACAAAGTCCTCAAACTCATTACCACTTGTCTAATTGGGGTGCCACTTTTTTTTTTTTTTGTGGCATTTTGGATTCCAAACTGTCTCTTTTGATAACAACATTTAGCAACTGGTTAGAAATTCCATAGTGGGTGAAAATTCAAAATTGGCAAAGGAAAAATACCCTTAGTGGGTATCCACAGAGGTCTAGACATCCCTAGTGGGTTCGAACATTCTAGCGGGTTTGAAGACCCCCAACGGGTCTAAGCACCCGTAGTGGCTCTCAACGCCCTTAGCAGCTTTGATAGAATTGATCGCATGTGTTCAATAGACAAGATAAATATTTTTTCACTATTGATATGTAAGAGAACCTT